CGTCCCCCAGCATGGTGACAGTGCGCGGCCAGGTACGAGAAGGCCAAAGGGTTGGACGTCGTGCTGAAGATCAAGGATGATGAGAGGGGAGGAAGGGCCAAGGTTGAAATAACTCTTGTTTCTCCTCCTCCTCCTCCTCCTCCTCCTCCTCCTCTTCCCACTCCTCCCACTCCTCTACTCCTCCCACTCCTCCTCCTCGTCCTCCTCTTGCAGCAGCAGCAGCAGCAGCAGCAGCCTCTCTGCAGGGCTTTGAACATTGTTCGCTCCTCTTCTCGTTCCAGGAATCCTACAGTCGGTGCTGTTGCTGACAGTGATGGACAGATTGTTCCTCTAGACGAGGGAAGCGAAACCGAAGATTTTTGGTAATTCTCCTCCTCCTCCACCACCACCACCACCACCTCCTCCTCCTCCTCCTCCTCCTCCTCCTCCTGTTGTTGTTGCTTAGCCCTCGACAACCAGGAAGGCTCTCGGGGGGCAGGGGAAGATCAAGTCAGCTGAGGAAGCAGGTGATGGGAGGGAGGTGAGGGAGGAGACTGAAGGTGCCGCAGGAGATGATGAGACCTCTGAAAAGAAGGCCATGGCAGAGCAGCTCATGCAGAAGGTTGAGGAGGAGGAGGAGGAGGAGGAGGAGTGACGGGGGAAGGAGAAGAGGAGGAGAGGGAAGAGGGAAGAGGGAAGAGGGAGAAAGGTGCGGGAGAAGGAGGAAACAGAAGAAGAGGGAGAGAGCTGGAGAAAAGGATTGAGAGGAGGAGGAAGCAGATGAGAAGGGAGGGGAGGGGGGAAAGCTCATGGCTGATCCACTGAGCAGGTTGGAGTGGAAGGTGGAAAAATCCGATGGGGAGACATTCACAAACCGATCTCGCACGCCACCCTCATGGAAGACTCGTGCTTTCTTGTCGACTCAGGTGAAGCGCTAGGATGAGACAGAGGGAGAGGACGGGGAAGAGGACGAGGACGAGGACGAGGACGAGGACGGGGACGAGGACGAGGACGGGGACAGGGAGCAGAAGTGGGGAAGACACTGTGGGAGGAGGCGGGGACGAGGTGAGGAGGGTGAGAGACCCCTCCCCCCGAGAGCAGGAGAGGACGTGGAGGAGGTGGAGAATGACAACTTGGGCATCAGGAACTTCCGTCTTCGTGTGGGTGGGCAAGAGCGCTCCTCAGGAGTGCCGCAAGATGGCAATGACGGCTGGTATGGAGTACGTCAGCAAGGGTAGGCGATCCTTGCTCCGTCCTCTTCTCCTCCTCCTCCTCCTCCTCTTTCTCCCTCCTCCT